TATTATATAATATGTATTATATAATATAAAGTTAATACTTTCCCCTCACAATATATGGCAGAAGTAATTTTGTATCACTTTCATTAGACCTCTGTTGTAAAGTGTGTTTCAGAGAGGAAAATTTCCAAGATTTTGGCATACAGACTTGAAAAATAACTTTATTTCAACATTAATTCTCACCCCTTACTGATTAATGGCTGTGGGATTTTAAAAATACACAAATAGATTAAATCTCTAGAATTTTGTGTTTATTTATGCCCTTGATTTCATGAATCACCAGAGTATCTAAAGTGGTTTTTTCATTGCTTTTAACATTAAATTGCTATTTTAAGTTATTTTATACCCGTTTCTGTTTATGAAGGTCATCTTGTGCTATTGTTAGGCTGAAAACCTAGCTTTTAAATTTCGGTAAGATCAATAAAGTAGGTTTTAACCATTAAGGTGCTTTAACATTTCACTAATTCTGTTACTGGTTTACTTGCATAATTTTTCTTTGTGGAAAGTAAAAACCTCTAGTTGAAATTGAAAATGGTAGACAGTTACAGTGGCAATAAAAGAATTCACTTACATAAAAATGTTCACCAGATAGAAAAAAAATAAATAAGACATAGCACTTAGAAAAGTCCACTGAAAGCAGGCACAAGCATCATCTGTAGCCATTTGGACTAAATTTATTAATGGAGAGGCCCTAACTAAAAAGTTTGCTCTCTTAAGAGACAAGCAAACTATATGCACGTGGATATCAGGTTACATATAATGGACGTTGCATCATGTGTCCTACTGGAGTTATTACAAGTAGTAGGAGAGAAGTTTAGTCTGTGTCCCGTACTCTGCGGCAGATCTCCTCTGTGAATTCCGAACACTTGGCACTACCTCCCAAGTCTTTTGTCAAGACCTGAAAGAAAGAAAAAAATAGTATTACTAACGTGGTTTTTATGGGGCTAGTCTTGTCTCATATTCCTCAGAATATGAGGAGTTCTGTATGTTCTTCTTACATGTTGTGTATGGATACTAAATACGAGTGAGAAGGAACACATCAAGTTTGAGTTTTTCCACATCTTGTATAGCCTTCATCAATAAGAACTATGCAGACTGAAGCAGGTAGAGAAAACCTGAGTACAAACATCCAGCATTATGTTATCAGATTTCAACATGATTTACCTTAAGGACAGGAAGAAAGTGCATTTGGCCGAAGTCCCTTGGCCACATAATAGTGTAATTGATTGTTAAGTATTAGTAAATTTGTCCTTTTGAAAGTAAAATTCGCATATGAAGGCTCAGCACAAAGGCAACTACTTGAGAGTCATTCAGTAAGGTTTTGGGGTGGTTGTTTGTTTGCTTTTTATTTTAAAGGAAACCCACACAGCAAATGCACAGATAGCTCTTAATGCTGCATGTTAACAGTTCTTCAAGTTCGCTTAGTTTAGTTAAGAAGTGGAAAAATGCAGAGTTAAACTTTTTCATCAAGTACAACTCCTGTCTGGCAGCATGAAGATAGTAAAATAAAATAAAAAAAGTGGGCAACATTGCTCGTCCAACCTAGCTATATTGAACCAGTCTAGGAGATAATTTAAAATAATTAGTTTTCTCCTTACATGACACACACGCAGATCTTAATTAAACGGCTGGGAGGAAGGGAGGAAAGGGAGAAATAGCAAGCATGACACGTAAAGGTTACTATTTTAGGATCTGGTCATTTTAACTGCATTATGCTTTTTTCAACTGAAAATGATTCTGTCCATTGTGAGCACATAATCATAACATTGTAAGTAACTAGTAAACAAGTAGCCATGTCATGAAACTTGCACTGTGTTATCTTCCATAGAATTACTGACCTGCAGATGGAGGATTTCATTTCCAGAGCAGTAAATGGGAACTTTACAGGAGCACCTCTTTATTCACTTGTAAGTTTAGATTTTTTTTTTTTTAAACTGGCTCCTACACACAGTAGGATAGCTGCAAACAGATGACTTATGAAGTGATGACAGCTTTTTGTTTAAGCATACTTATTACTTTTAATTACAAAGCAGCTTCTTATGCTCCTGCCCAAGATAACTGAACCGGCATGGCTAACTGCTAATCCTCTTTACCTGCAATCTTCTGGATCTTTCCAGCTATGTTTTGAAAAGGTGGACATCAAAGTAGAGGAGTGAACAAATAACATTAAGGGCACAAATTCAAAACAGGTTTCAGAGCATAAGCCCCCCCCCCCCCCGCCCCGCCCTGAACATCCCATTTCAGTCTTAAATCTGGAGACAATTATTGCCAAAGGGAAAAATGTAAGTACTGGATAAAAACTGTTCTTTTGTAGTCCAAAAAGGACTGAAAGCAGCTAGAAGGAAAAAAAAAAAAAGAAAAAAAAAACTGAAAAAATAGGAGCAGAAGTATTACAGTCAGGACTGAAATGCTATAAATGAAGTGGATGATTAAGCTTGTGAAAGGCAAACGTGTCCTTCACTTCAGGATCCAGATGTAAATATATATCTGTTCTGCGTTATAAACTTCACAAGTGAAATACCACTAGTTACTTAAACCTCTAATCCCCTTTGTGAAAAACATCCAGTTATAGCTTTTAGAGTTAACAAAGTTATGGAAGTGCAATATGAGCATTACTGAGACACAAGGAATGCTACAGCCTGTCCTTATTACTGAACTGAGCAGATTTGATACCACCAAAGATAATCAATTACTATCAGAGGAGGATAGCGGCACTGCTTGTGCGTCAGGCCAGCACCACTATTCTGGTGTTAATGTTCTAAGTTAATTTTTGCTCTGATAGAATATAATTTTAATTCACTGCGCTTATTTGCACACCCTCATATTACCTTTCCATCTTTAATTGTATCAAAGCAAGCTGTCTCAATTTTTGTGGCATGTTGGTGTAGGCCCATGTGACGCAACATCATCACAGCACTCAGAAGAAGGGCAGTTGGATTTGCCAAGTCTTTTCCTGCAATGTCTGGTGCTGTTCCATGAACCTAGAAATAAAAGTGAACTTATCTGTTAGGATGTCAATCTGCTGATTAAAGTCTCCTAAACACTGAAAATGTACGCAAGCCACCTGAAGCACAGACCTCCTCCACAAGCATGTTAAAATAGGACTTATTTCACAGTGGTAGAGTTGATAGAAAGGAGACAGGAGAGACCAATTCAGTTCAAAGGCATCAGAAAGGGAGAACGAGGTCACCTAGTATCTCCCAATTGTGCCCTACAAGTTCTATTCCAGAGAGGGTATTTATCTTACAAAAAAGAGGGAAACTAAAGTGTAAGTAAAAGGACATGCAAAAAACCATGGGTAATACATGCTTTAACTACTCTCTCTGGATAAAGTTTCAGTGTCTTCACAGTAAAAATGTTTTATGGAGAACTTGGTTAAATGACAGCCATGTTGTATGTCATGGAAAAGCTGCAGATTCTGAAAGTGAGACAAACGAAGTTATTACTCCTCTACCTTGCATAAGAAGACTTACCGATTCAAAAATCGCAACTCCGTTAGCACCGATATTTCCACTTGGTGTTACTCCAAGACCCCCAATCAGTCCAGCACACAAGTCACTGACAAAATAAAACCAAAAACCAACAAAATCCCACCCGTTTTTCCATATATGGTTGCACGTCTGCAAGGTATTAAAATATTTTTCTCATTTTATTGCAATGACTTTTTATATACTCTCACAGAATAACATTGGGAAAGAATAGATGCTGTTAGCCGCTTGTACTCCACTGGAACATTTGAGAATTTGTAGAACTACTAGCAGCAGACAATTTAGTAAAAGGAAAATTAAAAGGAAATTCCAATTACTAGAATAAAGTTGATTAAGACATAGGCACAACAAAAGGTATTCAAAGCACAGAATACCTGTGGAAGTCTCATACTGTTTTATTGCCCACAACTTTGCTCCTCAAGGACTAATGAGCAAATAAAGTTTGGATGACCTTGCAGAATAGTATTTTAAGTTTAAGCTAAAATAAACCAATTTGCTTTAGTTCTATAGAGCGAGGAAAAAAAATTGATACAGTCACTTCAGGTATTTAATTCTTCAAGATAAGAGATTTGCTTCTATACCTATTGAGGCCAAGAAACCTGTTTGGCATTGTGTTCCCACTTTAAAAAAGCACTGTGGGTGAGACTTTTCCCCAGTGACTAAAGTGCCCTTCTTCAAGAACAGACTCAATTTCAAATTTTCAATTTATTGAAAATTTTTAGAACTATGAAATTCTTTATGGAATTTCTATGAGGACTTTAAAATTGGTGATACTGAACTAGGTAAAGTGAATTGAAATAGTACTGATGATGGGACTCATCTGATTTGATCTCTTTTGGTTAACAGCATAATAGCTGCTGTGAGGGCCCTATGGAGTCCTCTACCAATTCTTGAAGCAAGGAGCATTAGCTGGAGTCTGATTTTTCTTAGAGGTGACAGACAGCCTTAGAGAGAGTGCAATTTTAAGAGAAGCTCAACAAACCTTTCTTCTTATATGTAAGTTACCTTTATGTTTATTATCTGTACAAAAACAGAAGATGGATTCTAAGATGTTAATCATCGTTGAACTTACTTACAAACAAATTCTGATTCAGGTTATATTCTCAATCTATTGTTAGAGGTGCAAGGAGAAGCAATGTTATGTTACACACTTAGAAGTTCAGATTAAGATATTTAATTTTACACACAGTATTTTATTGAATTTACACTCTACCTAAACATTTTACAGAATGAAAAATGTGTGCTGATGGATTTTGCCTTCAAGGCATCAAGTACGTCTAGTATTAATGTTATTCAAATAGGAAATTTAATTTGAAGATAAGCAAAAAAAATTACTACACAACACAAGAGCTGGTAGGATATTAAGAGGCCACACATTTCATTCTTCAGTGATTATGCAGAATCATTTAACTGTGTGGCTAGCTTGCTGGAAACATCATGGCCCCGCAGTCATCTTACACAATCTATTTTAGTGCTTAAGATGAGAAAGTTGTTCCCCAATATCTAACTAAATGTTCTTTATTAGAATTTAAGCCATTAAATTCTTCACGCAATGGGAGAAATTATTCGTCTGCCCCATCTGAGCAATATTCGTAGCCTCCATCAGCAGAAACTTTTTTTTTTAAATAAGCAGCACATTCTCATCACATAGCCCCTCCCAACAGTATATTAATAGTTTAAGTGTAATACTACCATCGTTTCTTCCCCTTTAGAGTCTGACTTACTTAGAAAATTTTAAACTTGCATGAAATCATGACCCATCTCACTAGCATATAACCTGAATAACTGTCTGGAAAGTAACAGTATTTTACATGTTGAGTTAGTTTGAATTAACATCTCCATACCTGAGGATGTCACCGTACAAGTTTGGCATAACAAGCACATCAAATTGTGATGGATCCTGAACCATCTAGGAAGAAGTATATTTTCATTAAGATTATGAATTAAACTCAGAAATAACCACAATTAAAACATATAAATACTCACATTCAGACACACAGTATCCAGATACATTTCATTAAATTTAATATCTTTACAGTTTTCTGCTGCCTCTCTGCATTTTCTCAAGAAAAGCCCATCAGACATTCTCCTGCAATTAAATAAGCAAGCGAATATTGGAGTTATTCTAAGTAAGCAATACTGAAGATAAAGAAAACCGCAAGCAAGAGAGGATTAAATAAAAATATTAGAGTGCAGAAACTTAATTTGTATTAAATATAAAT